GACCCACTTAACCCTATTGAATCATTCCTTCGAATCTTCAAACTACCTAGCTCCCATAAGACTATTTGTATTACATCAGGTCTTTAGACAAAAGTGACTTGAAAAAAATAGAGAAAAAAGAAATGACAAGATATTGGATTGGGATCTAGTCAATTTGTTCCAAATCATGTGAATCATGTAGATCATACGACTAATAAATTGAACATTAGGATCAAAACAAATAATATATTGATTTCCTCATAAAAGGATTTATGGTAAAAATTCATTTGGATTCATGATCCAAACCATAAATCTAATCATAAGTTTTTTTAAGATAAATGAAAAACAAAATTTATTAATGATAGAAAGGTACAGATGTCTTAGGTGACAAGATGTCACCACCCAGCAATACAAGACAGAAATTCCAACAAAAACATACTACACTCAAATCCCATACAAAATTAAACCAACAAAGTAGACCAAAAAGTCAAACCAAAATTGTTTTTTTACTGCCTTCAAATTCAAGGAGAATTAAAGTCCAAAATCTTTTTTTTGCAGATAAAAAAAGGTAAGCCCTGGAGTTAATGCTACTTTCTTAGCCCTAATCCCAAAGAAGATAGATGCAAAGGACCCTAAGGATTATAGGCCGATTAGTCTGGTGACAAGCATCTATAAAATCCTAGCTAAAGTGTTGCCTATGAGAATTCGAGTAGTACTACCATCCATCATTAGTCAAGCACAAGGTGCTTTCGTGCAAGGAAAGCAAATAACAGATCGGATCTTAATAGCAAATGAGTGTGTGGAGGACATGAGAAAGTCGGGGAATCAAGGTTTTGCATGTAAGCTAGACTTAGAGAAGGCTTATGATCTTGTGGATTGGAGTTTTTTACTAGAGGTCCTTGGGTGTTGTGGTTTTGGAGATTGATGGTGCAACTGGGTAAAGGGCTGTATTAGCTCCTGCCATTACTCAGTCTTGGTTAATGGGGTGGTTAAAGACTTTTTCCTAGCTTGTAGAGACCCTAGACAAGGTGACTCGCTCTCTCCGTTTCTTTTCACCTTTAGTTGCAGATGTTTTTAGTAGATTAATCTCTAAGGAAGATAAGGAAGAGGAAGTGAGTGGTTAGAAGATAGGAAGGAACAATGTCCAGGTAACCCATCTACAGTTTGCTGACGATATCATAATATTTTGTGAAGGGGGTGGCAGGCAAAAAGTGAGGAACCTTAGAGCATTGTTACAACACTTTGAGAAGGTCTCCAATTTGAAGATAAACCTAGATAAGAGTTGTGTGGTAGGTGTCTATATGAATGAGGGGATTATTCATTCTGTGGCAGACTGTCTAGGTTGTCCTGTTTCTTCTTGGCCCTTGTAGTACCAAGGTCTCCCTCTGGGGGCTAACCCAAAAGAGAGTAGTTTTTGGACCCCAATTTTGGAAAAGTTTGAGAAAAGATTAGCTTCCTGGAAAAGAAACTATATCTCTATAGGGGGTAGAGTGACATTATTGAGAGCCACCCTAGCAAACCTACCGATCTATTTTTTATCCATTTTTAGGATTCCTAAGAGGAAGGCTAAGAAGCTAGAGAGATTAATGAGAACTTTTCTTGCTAGCGAGTTTCATGTCGACTAGTTCACATATGATAAAGAGATAGGGGAGGAAAAGAAAGATCATCTAATCAAATGGAAATAGTTTGTAGGAGCAAAGAGGAAGGTGGATTGGGGTTAGGAAGGTTAACTCTCAAGAATAAAACCCTCTTAGGAAAATGGTTGTGGAGGTGGCCTAGAGAAAGGGAGAGGTTGTGGCATGAAGTGATAGCTAGTATACATGGCAGACTGGAAAATGGTTGGGATGCGGGTGTATCACGTCAAGCAACGTTGGCATCTCCTTGGAAAGCAATCCAGATTATCCTCCCTCAATTTCTCAACTTTGTTAGGTATGATGTCAATTCTGATAACTCTTTTATTTTGGGAAGACACTTGGGTGGGTATTGTTGCTTTTAAGGACCAATTCCCGTCTCTTTATTCTATTTCCCTTTACAAGAGAAAAGCTATTCTCATTTTTTCTCATCTCCTAATTCACCCTCGACCTTAAGTTGGGACTTTGGCTTTCAGAGAGGTTTGAGGGATGATGAACTTAACAGTGTTTCCCGTCTCTTTATTCTATTTCCCTTTACAAGAGAAAAGCTATCTCTTATTTTCTCTCATCTCCTAATTCACCCTCGTCCTTAAGTTGGGACTTTGGCTTTCAGAGAGGTTTGAGGGATGATGAACTTAACAGTGTTTCAGATCTGTTGTCTCTTCTTGGCAGTGTCTTTATTCTCAACTTTGTGAGGTATGATGTCAATTCTAATAACTCTGTTTTATTTTGGGAAGACACTTGGGTGGGTATTGTTGCTCTTAAGGACCAATTCCCGTCTCTTTATTCTATTTCCCTTTACAAGAAAAAAGCTATCTCTCATTTTCTCCCATCTCCTAATTCACCCTCGTCCTTAAGTTGGGACTTTGGCTTTCGGAGAGGTTTGAGGGATGATGAACTTAACAGTGTTTCAGATATGTAGTCTCTTCTTGGCAGTGTCTTTTTGGACCCTCTTAGTGTGGATGTGAGATTATGGTCCCCTCATCCAAAAGGTTTCTTCTCTTGTGCTTCCTTTTTTAAGTCCCTTTGCTCTTCCCTGAGATAGTGGGGTTTTCCAACCAAGGAGATTTGGTCTAGACCTGTTCCACCTAAAATTGTTATTTTCTGCTGGGAAGTATTTTATAGAAAGATTAACACCTTGGATTGCTTGCAGAAGAAAAGGTCTTTCATGTGTTTGTCCCCTAACTGGTGTGTACTTTGCAGGGCTAGTGGTGAGGATTTTTCCCACTTTCTTGTATCTTGTTCCTTTTCTAGTGTTATTTGGAATTGGATTTTTTCTTTGTTTGGGTGCAAGTGGAATCTATCCACAGACTTAAGTCAGCTATTCGATCCTTCCTTTTTTGTGTGGCCTATAAAAAAAGGAAAATTGATGTGGAGATGTATTAGAGCAGCCGAGGAAGAAAGGAATGCAACGATATTCAAGGAAAAGGAAAGAAGCATTCAGGCTGTTGAGGATTGTATCTTGACTAGGGCCATTCATTGGTTGAGAATTATGGACTTCTTTCGTACTTTTTCCTTTGATGATATTTGGAGAAATTGGATAGTAGTGGCTAACAGCCATACAAGGAAGGACAAGGAATCTGCAGTGTGGATCCCTCCACCTGAAGGATGGGTAAAGCTGAACTTTGATGGCAGCAGCCAAGGAAACCCAGGCCCATCGGGGATAGGAAGGGTGCTGAGAGATATGGAGAGCAACATCTTAGCCTTGTTTTCAGGCCCCGTGGGAATAGGAGACTCTAATAGAGCTGAGATTTTAGCGGCGGTACAAGGTATTCAGATTGCAGAACAATTAGGAGTTCAGCACTTGGTAGTTGAAGGAAACTCTCAGATTGTTGTGGGATGGCTGACAGACCCAGCTTCAGCCATGTGGCAACACAGAGACTTATTGAGGAAAGTCAACTGGCTTACAAGAAACATGGCTGTTACCTCTCTTTGGGTGGGAAAATCAAAAAATACCTTAGCGGATGGGTTAGCTAAGCAGGGAGCTTCAAGGGAACATTTATTTTGGGCTGCTCTGTAATTTTACTTATGGCTATTTCTGTTTTTAATTTGATGTAATACTTTTTTGAAGAGGTAACAGTTCGTGCCTCTTTTTGGGTTTCCTATATTGCCTTATTTTTTTCTGAATTAATAAATTATCTTCATTCATCAAAAAAAAAATTAAAGCCCAATCATAAATCTAATCACAATCTACATTAAAAGAAAAAAAAAAAGAACCACCAGGTTAGACTTCTGGGATTTTGGTGTTTCTTGGGGAGGGTCGGCTACTTTAGTTCAGCCCATCCTCTTAAGGAGGTATCCTTCGCATCACTTGCCTTTTCTTTTATTCATCATTAGTAATATTTTCTCTAGATCTGGTCCCTTGCTGATCAAAAAAAGGTTAAAGAAAAGATAGAGGAACATATAGAAGGATTATATGGGAAGATTCCACAAGAAAGATCATAAAAACAACTGCCAACAAACTTGTGCCCTCAAACTTCCTTTTCAGCCTTCCACACACACACACACACACACACACATATATAGGCTATCAGATAATAAACCTAAAAGAATCCTTATGTTGTACATTTTCCCAAGTTAGCAGATTTTAGAGAAAAAATTCATAAGTACCTACCAAAATTTCACTTATGTATATTTGTAGAACCTTGTGGCAGTTGAGCTCAAACCAAGTTTCTTGGATTTCAAGATTCTTAAGCTTGGAGACTGAGTTAAATAATCATATTGCAGAACAAACATAAACTACAAAGAATTTGAGTTCAAGGTCCCTCATCCCTGTGACTGGAAGAGAATATATAGTTAAGCATATGATTGTAAGAATATTGGCGAACTCCCTTACATGTTTCACTTCTAGAGTCCACAAGAATATACAAATGAAATTATGTTACTCAGATATGGCAAGCACACAGCTGGACACATAGGTAATGTTTGGCGTCAATGATGATTTCTTGAAAATCACAGCCATGTTGGAGCCACGTCAGCGTTAGAGGAATCGGCATTGAAATTTCTGTTTGGTTCACCGATTTTGGTGATTTTCAGGAAATCGACCAAAAATCGATTCTTGAAATCATCCCTTTCCAGGGATCACCTTTTTTTTGGTGATTTCCTGATTTCTAGCTGATTCCGATTTTTTGAGGATGACATGGCATCCAACATGGCACTGAATAATAACTCATACAAAAATATCCAGCCCTAGAGAATCAGTACCAAATAGACTCAAAGCCGATTTCTCAATAATCAGCTGACATAGCAGAAGTGATACCAAATAGCAAAATTTATCGATTTTTGAAAATCAATAGGGAAGAATCATCAGCGATGCCAAACATCACCATAGTCTAGAAGTTGAAAATAAAGAAGCAAATACATAACAATAAAAAGACTCAGATAACTAACCTGCCCATAGTTTAAGACACCAGATGATGGGTTCATTTCGATGTTCCCAAAACATTGTAAATCACCTTTTGAAAAATTCCCATCTTTGGAACATTTTGCTACATACATATAATCAGTTGGCACGAGACCAAATCCGAGGTCATCCCAATCTATATCATCCAATTCGAATGTTTCACTGTTTTTTGATGAACAAAAGTTAATGTTTGCAAAAAGTAAACATGTAAGCATAAGAGGCATCACTTTTGGAATTCAAGTATCACAAGCTTTGAAACTCATTTAACCATTTAAATGCTTTTGACAAAATAACCAGTTCATGTTATATGACTAATGTCCTTGAACCCCAACAATAATTGAAGGAGTGGTTTAAAAGGTGCCCCTAGGCACAAAGGTGAGGTGCATATTATAAGTGCTGGCCCTAGGTGTGGCACTTTCAAAAGACATGCCCCTTGCACTTCAGCCCAGACATGCGCATTTTTCTGTTTTTTTATGCCTAGCAGCTGGCCCAGGGGCTCTGCCCCCAAACCCCCAGGCCCCAACCAAGCCCCTTGAGGCAAACCCAAACAAGTTCATATTAAGGTCTTAAATTCTTAACCCCTACAAAAACAAGAATTTATAATTTTAATTGTCTTTTAAAAACTATATTTTATTAGGATGAATGAATGAATTCTACATGCCTACATTCAACCCTCCATTGTCCCCTTGATAACCTACACAACCACCAACAAGACCATCAAGATCTCCCAACATCAATGCCCAATTAATAAGCTTTTCTGGAATCTTGAATGCAAACCTCTCTACTTCTCTTATTCATTTTCTTCACTTTGTTAATGGGCCTGACCCAACATAACCCCATCTTCAATCTGGAAAAAACTTTCAACACGAAAGTGCATTGATTTCTTTGAGATCTGAACCTTCTTATGGCATTAGGAATCTTCTCAATATTCTTCAGGTCCAAAGTACCACATTCTTTTCAAAGATCTGATCTGTTACCATCTCACCATTCCTTTCAGGCCCATCCCCTTCAACTCCAGTTGCTCTCGTTCTATCTTGGATCTCATTATTCCTTTCATTACTGCAAGCCACCTCATGAACCAACCAATTCTTTTTCTTTACCATTTAAAGGTCCACAAATTTTTTCTTCCAATTCCATAAAAGCTTTCCTTGCAAGTCCCCCCCCCCTCCTATAAAGAACAAGCCCAAAGATTTACTAACCTCCACTTCAGTATTCACCATTGTTGGTAGTGTGATTATTCTCTTTCTTCTACCTCCAAAAATACCTTTCTAGAGAAATCCTCTCACCCAAGAAAGAGCAAACCCAATTTTTTTACCAACTTGTACCTCTCTATCAAGTCTCAACCAAATTGATTAGTCCATTTTCTCCTTCTCGTTCCTTGCTTGGAAAGCTACACATTTATGAGTATTCTCTGTCCTATCACCCTTTTCCTCTTCTGAGTAATCTTTATCTTCAAAATTCTTCACTTCTGAATTTTCAATAGTTGGCTGACCTACATTCCAAGTTCCATCTCTCATCTCTTACCACGTTTTCAAGTTCAAGCATCAGCATCTTTCCTTCACAACCCATAGGATCTGACCCTTTGCAATCAAAGAGCAAGAACCATCCAATTAGGTCCACCCCTTCTGTATTGTCCTTTAAGTTGGTATAGTCAAGATTTTATCACATATATGCTCCCTTGTTTCATCTCCTTCGCATCTTTGGATGTATGCGTTTTGTTCATTAATTATCACCAAACAAAGATTAACTTGATCCCAAAGCTGTCAAATGTGTATTGTTGGACTACTCTTGTACACAAAAAAGGTTATAAACATTGCTGCATTGTCATTTTATCTTTGTTGATATAACTTTCTTTGAATCCGTTCCATACTTTTCTGATGAAGGTTCAGTTGTTGCTGATGTGTTGACAGATAATCCAACTTCTTATGGGCCCTATTGTCTGTTAGTTTGTTTTATTTTTTAGGGTAAATCCCTTAAACCTCCCCTCAACTTTGACCTGCCCTTAAACCTCCCCTGACTTTAGGGGATCAAGGGACTTACAAACCCCTTCTGTTACTTTTTAAGTGGACAGAGACATTAAATATCCATTATGCCCATACTAATTCCTCCTATCAAGTTAATAGATTTTTCCTAATTCCAACTTTGCCCTTCAACTGTTAATACAAGTAAATATGTTTTAGTATTTCATTTTTTATGGCATAAATAAACCTGCTTTTGGGTGAAGAGAGTCTTAAAGGTATTTTATTTTTTATTAAAGATTAAGGGTATTTTTTGTTAAAGGTTTAAGGGTACTTCAGCCATCAAACATTTGATGATTTGACATAAGGGCAAAATTGGCATTATGATATGTTTATATCCATGACATCAACAATTGCTGTTAGACTTCTAATGGCAAAGTAACAGAAGGGAGTATAAGTCCCTTAATCCCCAAAGGTCAGGGGATGTTTAAGGGCAGGTCAAAGTTGAGCCATTGAGGGGAGGTTTAAGACCTTTTCAGAAGACCCAAGGAGGTTAAAGGGATTTACACTATTTCTTTTTATATTCTTTATGTTTGTTTATTGTTTGGTTTTCTTTTGTAGTGTAGTGGTCCATGAGCCTTACTTAAGTTTTATGGCTTTCTTATTGCATGCCGCCCAAGCAGGGGTATAATTGTATTATTCTTATTCGGTTATACCTGTTAATGACAAAACATGTGAGGACTCACATTGGCTCCCACAATTGGGTGTTTGTTCTTGTCATTCTCTTGCTCTCTCTCTCTCTCTCTTATCCTGTTATCCTCTTTTCGTCTACTTTCTCCTTCTTTCTCTATCAATTTTCTGTTTTAGTTAATGTTTTTCATTGCTGCAAGAGACAAGTTGGTACCAATGCAGGGTTTCCTACTCTTTTTTCCAGATGTGAAGCCCATACACAACTAGGATTAGCAGTGTGCATGGAGAATTGAAGTGGCTGATCACTTCTAATGTTCTTACCTGATTTTTTTTTTTTTTGAAGATTTAAGGAGAACAAGTCAATCAGTTTGATGCCTAGAAGTGATCCCTAGATAGTGCAGCCTAAAAATCAAGAAAAAAGAATCAGAGATTTTGAAGCTTGTATGATTGAAGGCTATAGAGCTAACCAGAAATTGGTACTCAGATATTAATCAATCAACATTTTGTTATTGTTGAGATCAATAGCCATTTGAGTGGATGAAAGCTATGCAAGATGAAATAGAGGCCTTGATAAAAATTGGACATAGGACATAGTGAATTTTACTAACAGGAAGGAAACAATGGGTTGTCAGTGGATGTTCATAATAAAGTACAGAGCAGATGGATTACTTGAGAGCTACAAGGTGAGAGTCGTGAGACCAGTGACTAAAGGTTATACACAAACTTATGGAGTTGACTGTTTGGAGACTTTTGCACTGGTAGCTAAATGAACTTAGTGTAAGCTCTTTTATCTTTGGCAGCATCATATTCTTGGCTATTATATCAGCTAGACATGAAGAATGCATTTCTGAATGGAGATTTACATGAGGAGGAATATATGGAACTTCCTCTTATGGTGGTTAGAAGCATGATCAAGTTTGTAAGCTTAGAAAGTCCTTGAGCAATTTCCTAGAGCCTAGTTTGACAAATTTTTCAATGCATTAGTCAAGGACGGTTTCTTGTAGGTCCAATCAGATCATAATTTATTTATTAAAATAAAATGTTCCTTTCTAAGGACATAGGAGAGTTAAGATACTAGGTATTGAAGTGGTTGGATCCAAACAGGGTATATTCATCTCTCAAGGTAAGCATGTTTTGAACTTATTGGAAAATATAGGGAAGCTAGAAATTAAGCCTGCAAATACACCTATTGATCCTAACCACAGGCTAGGGTCAATAGCCTGTCGTTATTGATCCTCCCCATCCTACAGTATTCTTCTTTGTTTCCCTTAGTTGATTGGATCAAATAAGAATACTTGAAATCCTTCCTTCTCATTGGCACATTACAAGAATTGGATATTTGGATTTATCAAGAAAGAAAACAGATAAATTTTCATAAATAAGCACAATAATATAGATGTAAATGTTTAAGCATGAAACAGAGAAACCCGTTTCACGGAAATTCTTTTAATGCAATGTGAAGCTAACCTAAACATGGAATTATTCTGAGTGTGTTACACAGGACAACCCATTTCATGGAAATGCTTACACTCAATTCGGTTAATATGCAATGTTTTCTTGAAGCCAATCCAAGCACATCATTATTATGGCCATTTCCTGCTTTAATGCAATGTGAAGCTAACCTAAACATGGAACTGGCAAACATTTCATGAAAATGCTTACACTCAATTTGATTAATATGCAGTTCTTTCTTGAAGCCAATCCAAACACATCATTATTATGACTATTTCCTGCTTGTTGACACCTTACATGTTAGCTGATGAATTTAAACTAGCTACCTAAAAGAAAACTCCAAATACATGAATAGAATTTGTTATGCATCCAAAAAAGGGTACAATGTCACGTAATCATGTAGAAGTATATTCTCATGCACACGTTTGATAAGCATTGTTCCAGCACAAACATGGCCAAGCAAGAACCGAAGAAATACATCGATAATGTATTCCATATTTGAAAGAAACAAGTAATCAAAAGCCAAAAGAAATCTAGACAGGGACGATGCACTTGATGTCTTAAGTGCAAAGAGATAGAATAGTTTCTAGATTGTCGAAGAAATACAGACCCACAGCAGTTACCTGTTAGATACTGCAGTTCCTCGACATATAGTACAAGCCACTTGAGGGCGAGATGAGATGAGAGAGCGTTGGTTCTGGAGCTGCAAAGGTGGACAAATTAATAAGCCAAAGTCACAATGAGAGAGAAGAACATGACCAAAACAAGACTACCCTCCATGAAATTGGCCTTTTACTCAAACCCACTTCGTCAATCATGACCAATAATCAGAAAATGAGAAAAAAAAAAGTAAGAAAGAGGAACCTTGAGATATGAGAGCGGCAAGTGTCGCCTGTCTGTGAAGAAGTTAGCGGGGAGGAGAGTAGAGGCCCTGCGTGACGGGCAGGGGAGATAGCTCGGTTGAAGTTGAAGTCCTACGAGAGCGAGGCTGGTCTCCATTGAAAACCGTTTCTGAGTTTCTGCGTGAGCTAAGGGAGAAATGGGGAACTCGAAAGAAGCGTGGAAATTGAGCTTTGCCGGATCTGCTCCGAGACGAATTCGAAGGCGACAGACTGAACGTCCAGGGGATTTAGTCAAAAACCTCTGTATGACCTTATATCTAAGATCAATACCGTTGGATTGGCATATCTTCTCTTTATATAAAAGCTAAGGTGACTTCATCGTTCCACGTCAGTGGGCCGTTATTTTTATCAAAAAGTGAGAACAGAGAACACATCCTACCAACTCAACGCTCCCAACTTCTGACAAAACTGCAGCCGCACATAACGCTCACATGTGAATGGGAGGCACACTGCGTGGGGCGCACATGTGAATTCCTGTATTGGTAATGGCATATTGGGACAGTATTTAGAAGCATATCTGAACTTTAGACTGCATTTGTATTTTGGTTGCGGTTGCGATACATATATATAATTTGCATAAATACCCTCTTTTGGGTTCAAGAATGCAAAGTGAGTTTACAGTGTAATCCGTTTTTATACTGTTCTTGTTTGAAATCTGTACAAATTGTGGGAACAAACACTAAATGCTCCAACTACCTAACGCTTCACTACCTTGAACTTTTGGTCAAACATGCCAATCTAGTTGTTTGCATTGATTATCAAAAGAGCACAGGTTTATATCCAAAAAAAGCGGGTAAAGTAATGTGCTCTCCTCACCGTACAAAGAAGTCAGAAAAAACATTTTTGGCCTCTTAATTATTGCATTTTTGTATGGAAACAAATGCAGCCTTAATTCCTTGGGCCAAATTCAACTCGGTGCCTATAGAGTGCACCCCATAATGCATCCCAATTATGTAATGGTACATCTCCACATGATAAGTATAAGAGATGTTCCCAATGCATGATAAATGTGCATGTGGGGTGCGTTAGGGTGGCAATTGGATTAGATTTGGTCTAATCTGATCCAGTCCAATGTGATTCCAATATAATCCAATGAATATTTTGGATCATTTTGGACCAGTCTAATTCAATGCCTGGACTGTCAAATCTATTCAAATTCGTTTTGTTTTAGATTGGTTTCAACCCAAACCTGATCCATTGACACCTATATTCTTATCTTATATCAATGGACCAGACATTGGCTTAATCCAACCCAATCCAATATAAATTTATTATGGATGGACCAGGTCCAATCTAATCTAATAAATATTTTGAACCGAATTAGTCCAATCCAATATGTCTTGTTGGTTTATCCAATCCGTCCAAATTGATTTTGGATTGGATAGGGTCCAATCCAAACCGGTCCATTGACACCCTTAGGCGCATGTGGGGTGCCAATTTGAATTCTCATGGGCCCCGATTATGAAATAAATCCCCATCCCTGACCCTAATCTCCGTTGGGGTTAAAAGTTGTCCTCTATCCTTGATCCCCGACGAACATATGGGGACTCAAATCCCCAAATTTTTAATTAACAACATTTTTTGAAAAATAAATTTATTTAAAACAAAAATAATATATATATATATATATATATATATATAGGATTGGGTGGGGTTGGGACTTCATTCCCCATCCCCAACCCGATGGGGTCAGGGAAGTCAAGTGGAAGGCTTTTTATTGATAATTAGGATTTGCTCCTCAAAAAAGCGTGCCTCACATCAACTTCACGGAATATCTCCCCATGAATGGCAATGTACAAATGTTGGAGATATTCCCAAACAGTATTTGGATTTGCTCCTCATATAGCACACCTTACACTGACCTTACAGCTCTATCCCATTGTGTATTGAAACATCTCCCCATGGAGTTCAGATCTGCTCCTCACAAAGCACACCTCACACCATCCTCTTAGTGCATTGCAAACGTGCATTGGGAACACCTTCCCATGAATGATAACATGATGAACGGGAGATGTTCTCAATGCACAGTTGTGATGCACTATGAAATACGCTCTATGAGGTGCAAATCCAATCTCCTCCCTATGAATAACACGGAATGGGATCTGCTCCTCAAACATGGGCGCTTCACAGGCACATCCACCATGCATTGGGAACATCTCTTGTGAATAATAATTTATAAGTACAGGAGATGTTCCCAATGCATGGTAGGATGTGCGTGTGAGGCCAGCGTGAGGCGCCTTGTGTGAGGAGCAGATCTGGTCTCAAATAACACTACAAAGTATGGGAGATGTTTTAGATATATGGATGAGAGGCATTGTGATGTTGGTGTGAGGAGAGTTGGTAGATCCGAACTCTCCCAAACATGGGAAGATTTTCCCAATGTATAGCTAGATGCCATATTCGTAGCGTGTTCCACGTTTTTTTTTTATTTGCCATGTTTTATAAGATGGTACTTTTTAAGTAAAGAACTTTTCTTTTGCACATGGTGCTTTTGTTTTTAAGGGAAAATTCTTATTAGTACCTATACTTTGGGCCTAGTTTTATTTTGATCCCCGAATTTTAAAATGTGATAATTTAATACCCAAATTTTTAAAAACGTGTCAATTTAGTACTTGTCGTTAACCAGTTGTTAAGTCAAGGTTTTTAAAATCGACCCGGACACCGAACTGGTTAGGGGTTTGGTTCCTAGGTCGAACGGTCCAACCGTTCGAACCAAACAGACGACCCATTTTGACAAAAAATAAAAAATAAATAAAAAATAAAAACCAACCAAACCATTGAACGGTTTGAATAGTCCGACCGCCCGGGTCAACGGTTTGCTGACCAAATCAACGGTTTTGGGGAAATAACGGTTCTAGGGTAAAACAAAACTGGTCACCTGACCGGTTCCTGGTTTTTTCGGACCGACCGTCCGATCCGGTCCAGTTTTGAAAACGATGCATTAAGTGGCATTTGAAAAGATACGAATGCCCTTCGATCAAGTGTCATCTAATTCTCTTTATGAACCATCCAAACATTGATAAAAAATGAACAGTCCCAAATTCTTGCCTTTTGTATTTAATAAAGTTGAGGTCATGTTTTGTGGGTATTCAAGAAGAGGCAAGAATTTGGGATTGTTCATCTTTTATCAATGTTTGGATGGTTCATAAAGAGAATTAGATGACACTTGAAGAACATTTGTCTTTTCAAATGCCACTTAACAGCTGATTAACAGATTGATTAAGGACATGTACTAAATTGATACGATTTAAAAGTTTAGATACTGAATTACAGCATTTTAAAGTTTGGGGACCAAAATGATACTAAGCCCCAAAGTACAGTCACTAATTAGGAGTTTTCCTTGTTTTTAATTGCTACTTTAATTATAAAACTAATTAATTAAGGAATAAGATGGCGTTATAAGTGGGTAACTTTTCTTTTGCTTAACTAAGCATATTGAAGCAAACAAAAAAACTAAGCAAAGAATATTTCCATATTTAATGCATAATCTCCTCGTTTAAAAATTAAAAAATTAAACTAAGCAAAGAATATTCCCATATTTAATGCAATCTCTTTGTATAAAAGTTAAAAAACTAAGCAAAGAATATTGATGCTGCTCAATCTGAGGTAGTGCACGAACCGAGGATGGCAATCAGATAGTCATTGCTGGCAGGTCAGGTTGAGCTTTAAGGATGAGGCCGCGCTTCAAGATCTGCAATCAAGGAAGAAGTCAAAGGCCCGAGGAATTACCCCCGTGTAAGTACTCCGACGCTCAAGTCAGTAAGAGGTGGTGGATGGCCGAGCCGAGCTATAGGGATGCTGGTCTGGGCTAATTAGCAGTGTGGGTGTTAGAAGTCAAGAGTTCCTTACCTTGAGCATGGAGTACCTTTTTATAGTCAAAGGGTCCATATCCTGATTGGAGTAGGTTTCCAGGGAAGTTGGGGAAGAGATCCCCGCCGAGGTTACAGGGGGTAGAGTCCTATTCCTCGGCGGAGTTGTCTTCCCATCCCTATCCGCTAGGCGGGCTTATCCGTGAGGGGTGTAGCTGACGTGGTCGACGGGATCATGGCGATGTCGTAGCCCAGCCGGGCTGTGCTGACGTAGCCGAGCTGTGATAGATGGCCAAGGGCCTCATGGCCAGCTCAGCCATGTCCCCAACACCACTCCCCCAGTTCCGAAGCCAAGGGATGAGGTTTTCTAGGTTCGTTGCCCGGTTGAGGAACTTCCGAGCATGCGTATCGTCCGCGTCGTGTTGGTCATTTCTGAGGAGTCCTTTGATCGTCGGCTGTAGAACTTAAATAAGAACCGAAATTTCTAGGTTCGTTGCCCGGTTGAGGAACTTCCGAGCATGCATATCGTCCGCGTCGTGTTGGTCATTTCTGAGGAGTCCTCTGATCGTCGGCTGTAGAACTTAAATAAGAACCGAAATTTCGGTTCTTGAACCACTCCCCCAGTTCTGCTGTTGAGGAGGGGGAGTGCTCGGCCAGACTACTGCGCGACCTGGTGGTCGTAAGCTACCTAGCCGAGGATTTGAGTGGCCCATCCAAGGATCCGTGTCGAAGGCTAGACTGGTACTGCGGGTCTCCGCGTCGAAGGTTGGACTGGTACTGTAGTTGAACCGGTGCAATTAATGGGTACAACCGCTGCCTGCCAAGGGTGTCGCTTCGATTTCTGAGGCTTCCTGTCATACGTTATTGGTTGCGTTGTTTGGCCTTTCGAGGTGTTGTCAGCGGTGCTTCATCTGCACCGTTGCTCTCCTCGGTCTGTGCCCCTGATGGTTATAAAAGGGAAGAGGGGGGCCCCCCTATCCTCAGTATTGCTTGCAAGAGTGTTTGGCATTCACTGTTCGACAGATTCATCGGTCACACAGTTTGGCAGATAGCTCGGCGGATAGCTCGGTAGCTTTAACTCTTCAACTCCACAAACTGTCTGGTATGTCCTCTTCATCTCGTCGGTCCTCTTCCTCATCCGGATCCTCCAGTAGTTCTGGTTCCAGCTCTTCTCGCGGCTTGACCTACGAGCTTGAACTGAGATATTTTGTGGCTGCCGAAGTTGAGGAAGCCGAGGCTGGTCCCTCCGGAATGAAGATGGAGCTCCCTCTTCAGGCAGGTCACCAGTTCAGTACCACGCCCAGGGATATGGCTTGAATCCGAGCCACGTACACCATTCTCGCGAAATACCAAATGAGGTGTCCACTGCCCGGGGAGATGGCCACTGATGCTCAGCCTGGTG